GTATTTTTGAATGCTTTCATGATGGCAGTTATTTTCCTTTTGATTCTAGAAATGATCTTTCAATGTTTCTTGTAGAGCTGTATGATGGTGATAAAATCCCAGAGGTTTTGATTATCTTGGTGAGTTTTTATTTTCTTTCATTTGTCAAGAATAGGTTTGCAGGATATAGTACTGTTGGTTGACTTTGTTTTTTTTTTTTTTTGGTCTTTTAGGACTTTGGATATAGTGTTCTATTCTCTTCTGGAATACTCAGACTTTTGCTAAGAATCTGCTGTAAATCAAATTGGCATATCCTTATAAATGACTTGATGCTTTTCTCTTGCTAATTTTAACAAGTCATTTTTTTCCAGTATTGGAATCACACCCAGGGCTTCATGAATGCTAAGCAAGCACTCTCCCTCTGATCTATTTTAGCAAGGTCTCTTTGTCTTGTACTTTTGGCAGTTTGACTACAAGCTTCAGAGAGGACCTTTCTTTTCACCAAATACATTAGGAATACTTTGAGCTTCTTGAACATAAATGTCCATATTTTTCCAAAGTTTAGCAAATTTTCAGCAATCATTTTCTATGCTTTTTCCCATCCCTTTTCCTTCTGGACCACCTATCATGTGAAGGTTTGTTCACTCAATGGTGTCAACTAAGTCTCAATAGCTTTTTTCACTTCTTTATTATTTTTTTAATTAGATGGGGTTATTTCAAAAGACAGTACAGAAGTCTGTCTTTAGCCTGGTCCATTTTAGTGTTCAGGCTCCACTATATTGTTTATTGTATTTCTTGAGTTCTACTGCTCCAATGTTTTTGATTGTTGCTTTTTTTATGAACTCTATCCTTTTGCTAAACTTCTCATTCATATCATAAATTGTCTACCTGTATTTTCTAGTATCTCATTAGGTTTTATTAAAATCATCCTTTTGAATTTTATCAGTGCCTTGCTTTCCTTTTCTTTAGAGTTTGCTGCTAGAGAGTTATAATTTACTCAATTATCAGTGAGCACTGATAGTCACATTTTTTGAGAATTAATCAATGCATAAGTGTTTTTTGCATTTTTTTCTGGCATTACAGATTTTGATTATCTGTATTCCTCACATTCACAGTTTGAAAAGTCCTTGGGTTTCAGGAGATTTCTGGTCCTTTACCGTTCCAAATGTATTTTTCTGCACCTTTTCTGGATCCAGTCTGCCTCAGGTTTAGTCACCAGCAATGCCCACAGAATTTTGTCTCCAGCTCCTGAGTTGGTGATGGCTGAGGCTTTGATAGCCATTTGAATTGTGACGCCAAGGTTTGAGTCATCATCATTTAAGGAAGTGTCTTAGGTACTTTTTAGGTATTTTAATGGGAACATGACAAAATGTTTCCAGTACATTTAAAATCTTACCACTACTGATATGTCCACTTAAAATATTAATTGTTTTCTAACAACTTGGGTGTTTGGAAACTTGAAGAACTTTTTATCATCTATAGACACTGAAAAATTACAGTATATTTTCTGCTCAATTCACTATGGTGAATTTTTAATGGTGCTGGTCTTAATACACTAGGAATCATATACACTACATTTCTTCATTAAAAGATACAGCCACTTATCTCTACTGGATTTACTTCTAAAGTAGTTTCCTATCTTTAAAATAAGGCCAACCAGTTCCTTATATAGTCAAATGACATTATTTTTAAAAAGTGTGTTTTCATCTTGCTTTTGGAATTCCATTCAGAATTCTTCCAAAACTTACTTTAATAACAATTTTCTCTTTTACTCCCAATGTGCCAAAAATGGCAGTCCTCTGTTCTTTTCTAGAAGACTTTCACTTTTGGAAAAAAATCTGTGGTTTTTTACGTGTCTTATAGGCTAGTGGTTTTGTTTTGTTTTGTTTTAAAGCACACTGACTGACTAATACCTAAGAAATGCCTAATATGTGCTTATTGAATGAATGTAGAACAAAGGCACACACTATTTTAAAAAAAATCTTTGATGTTTAAAAACCTATTTGTCAGCAATGTGTCTTTGGAGATATATATATATATACATTGTATATATATATATATATATATATATATATATATACAATGTGTCTATGTTACTAACATTCTTAATTTCTAGCTAACATCTGTGTTTTCCCATAGTTCTGTTCTCAAATTGATAGGTTTTTTTTTTTTTTTTCAATTTCCCTTTTCCACAAAGCCTTTGAATTTAATTGTTGGGCTCTAGTTTCTGCTTAATGGCTCCTAACAGTCATCTTCCACATCTTCCAAACTAATTTCTATTCATCTGTATTTTCTCCCCTTTTGGGCTTTTGAAATGTATGTTCTTAGAAACAGTGTTTTAATCTTTGTAAACATAATCATTTGCATATCTTAGCCTAGAGTATGCATTTTTACTAGTATCCTAAATTAATGTAAGCACATTTTTATTCACTGGAATATCTAATGTTTGTATTCTTAGTTTTATCTTTCTGTTTGAATAGTACATAGTGTGATTTGTCTTACCACTTTTTAATTATATGATTGTAAACCTTTTATTTGAACTGCATATTAATTTGATTTCACAGAGGAATGCTACCATGTTTTTGTTGGCTTTTAAAAAGAAAAGTGATGTCTTACTGCCACCATCTTTTCTGTGAACTTTGCTTATTCTCATGGCACCAGATCTTTAAATTGCTAATTCTAGCTCGACAAGTTCTTTCTTGAGATCCATGCCAGTAACTAACTCTATTCACTTTGTTTTGAGGTCACCAGTACTGGTGCATGCAATTATATAAGAAAGTTTGGTGTACTGGTCTTTAGTTGCTGATGTTTATCTTGAATTTACTCATTGAACATTTATTCCCTGCCCACTAGGTACAGAGCATGGTTTTACTTAATCTTTCAGGAGAACACAGGTAAACAAGAAGCAATCTACCTTTAAGAAATTCACAATCAACTGAGCAAGCTGCTGAGGAAAAGATCCATTATGTAATGGAGTTGCTACAATTAAAAGCAGAATAAATAATGATTCTAATAAAATAGAATAAGAAGGAAGAATATTTTCAAGTGTTTTCATGGAACTTAAATTTAACTCAAGAATGGGTAGAGTAAGGAGACCAAAAGGAGTGGAGTAAAATGTCTGCTGCAGGAGAGTCACAGATGTACAAGTGAAAAGATGCAGCAATAGTCACATAGGTCAAAGATGTGTTAGGTGAAGAGGCATAGTTGGAGATAAATTTTAGAAAATGTGTCACATTAAATTATAAGAAGTCTTGAATACTAAGATTTTGGACTTTTTGGTAAGGAGTAGAGAAAAAAGATCACTATTCAGAGATGTGCACTTTATTAATAATAAAAAACCTGCCAGTTATTGTGTGCTCAGCCCAGAACAGGCATTGGACTAGGTGTGTCATATCCAACCTCTGCAATCATGTGCAACAGGAAGGTGACATTATTGTCATTTTACAGTTGAAGAGTATGAATGTCAAAAGGAAGCTTAATCTACCCATGCTGCAAACATGGATTACAAAGTATTGTGACTGATATCTGAATTATTCAGAGGAAAAATAAATCTAACCAACAAAGCAGACATTTTTAAACTCACAATTATGCTGGCAAATTGCATCACAAAACTATGAAGAATTTCTGAAAAGTGAAAGGCATAGTTTGAAATTGCATCATTAAAAGAAACTATGAACCAGGGGCTAGTGGCTCATGTCTGTAATCCTAGCTACTCAGGAGGATCACCATTCGAAGCCAGCCCTGGCAAATAGTTTGCAAGACCCTATCTCAAAAAAACTCATCACAAAAAAAGGGCTGGTGGAGTGGCTTAAGGTGTAGGCACTGAGCTCAAACCCTGGTACCACATATAGAAAAAAAAAAAAAAGAAAGAAAGAAAAAGTAAGAAGGAAAGAAAGAAAGCAAAAAGTTCATTGGGATGACTTGCTACAAAAACTGGAGCTCAGGTGGTACCCCAGACCTGGAGGTGTAGATCCCAGTACTAGGAGCTGAGCCATGAAGTCAGAGCTAGAGTGGCTGATTAAAGTGTTTCATAGGAATAGTCAAGGAAGGGTCCGTAGCCACTATTGCCTTTTGGGCCACACAGTAAGTATTATATTCCAAAGAGGGTTCAAGAGTCAGGGAGCAGGTAACATCCTAGGAGCATGGCAGTCCCCAAGAGTGACACAAGAAACCTCATCCAGAAGAGCCCTGCACACCAACCAACCAAAACCTCTAAGATGCACACTAACTCCCTTCCACAGTGAATAGATCTGAGCAGATTACACCTCCACAGAGAACCTAAAGGGGGAGCCAAGATAAAATTGTGCTTATAAGCAAAAATTGATGAACATTTGAGGGGAACTAACTCCATTTAAAAGTACCAAATTCAATAGGATGATTTTCTGTGAGTACCCACTATATATTTTTCTGCACTTGTTTTCTAATTCCATCATTTGCTACAACCTGCAGGTTTCCTACCCTAAACACAACTGACATTCCCTTCAGTGCACAGCATTCTTTCTTTCCTGAACTAAGCTTCATCATATCCATTGGTATTATCTTTCATTTATATCATGTGAACACTGATAGTTGTATACAATTATGCATAAAACCATATGTAGTCCCACTTGAATCAGACACTGATAAACTTTGGGGAGTTTTAGAACATCAAGACTCAAATTTATTCTTTTAAAAGCACTTAGAAGAGCAACTTTTTAACTTCTTTTCAAATGCTAACTTTAGTAGGCTCTGGTAAGGCAGTGTATTTCGGTTTGTGCTACTATTTCAGCATATTTTCAGAGGGATTTTATAGATATACTTGTGAAGAATAAATACCCACAATGACTAATCTTGTTTTAATTAACATCAGAGAAAATAACAGTGGCTGTCACTATTTTCAGGTTTTCCTTTTTTTAGCTATGTCAGTTGCCATTTAGAAAGCAGTGAGAAAGAAGAGCAGCAAATGTTCGTCATCTGGCACTCTGGCCCCCTAAGAATGAAATGAGCTACTTATTCAAAGATAATGTACACACAATACTCACATTTTGTAGCCATCAAATTTTCAAAAGATCGGGCCCATTCTGACACTTCCTCTGAAGTAAGGCTTCAAAAAGAAACAAAAAGCATTGATTAGGATAAAATATCCTCAAGATTTTGCTGAACTCAACAGATCTATGTTACTTTGCAAATAACACCAAAATACAATTACCCTCCATTTGTGTGTGCACTTGGATGGAAATTTCTCTCCCTGTTACCTTTTGCATTTCATTTTTATTATCTAAATTTTGTGATTATAAAAATTATAGGAAGTTGTATGATATTTATAGGCATAATTATAGGAAGTAGAGTATATACTGAAAATATGATGAAATAAACATTGAAAAGAAAAGTAAAGAAAAAATTATCCTGTAATTTTTCTATTGCCAAATTTCTATTATATAGAATTTTAATAGATTTTTAATGTCTTTTGTTACACGTATATTTATGTTTTAACCAAGAATTTGTCATACTCTCCATGTGTGTGCATTCTTAATGAGTACAAACTCTTCTAATAACCACTTTGTATATTATAATTATTTTAATCATTTACAGTTTTATAATTTATAACTATAAATTTATAATCACTCATAGTCATGTTATGTTAGCAACTGTGTAGTGTGCTACAAAAGATCTTCAGCAACTTACATAACTATTTTCAAAAACCATTTTGATTATTTCCCATTTTTCATCATTAAAACCAAATGCAGAACACCCTGCAAACACAGCAAGAGTGATTTCTTTGATTAGTAGAAGTCAATTCAAAGGTAAAGAAGATACATGCTTTTATAGTTCTAAGTTCAAACTGCCAAATGACTTTTACAAGGTTGTACATTGCGTGATCCCACTATCAGACAAATCATGCACTCATATAATAAAATCGTTAACCTTGTGTCTATTATTTTCTCAGTCTCCTCTGTACTGTAATTTCTTTTGCATTTTAAAGGATTTGATTTTAATTAGAGCTTAATATGTCAAGTTCTATCTGACCTAAAATGTATAACAGAGCTGTTTTCTGTTTAGAAAATTGTGGAGAGATGCTGGCTTGGAGGCTTTGTTTCTGCCTCTCTGCCAAGCTTCGTGAGGTAAATTGTCAAGTGACAGTATTCTCACATACAAATACTTTTATTTTTCCTCTTTTAAAATAGTTAATATTTTTATTGTTATTCAGTTTATGATACATTCTTAATTTTCCTGCTTTTAACAACTAGATACACTCAAAGATAACTGCAGATGCAAGACTTGTCTACTGGATGTCCCATTGGAGTGAGCACAAAAGTTAGTTCAGCAGGAACAGATGTCACCATTAGCAGGTTCTTAATGAAAGAAGATTAGTTAGAGAGCTTAAAAAAATAGAACATGGAAAAATATTGGGAGTTCTCAAGAGTTCAAATATCTTTTGTTTTCTAATATTTGATGGATCCTGCCAGTTTGGAGTGGACTGCTTGCATCAGTACTAGGCTTAACAGTGTACTGTGCTAAGATTGCTTTCAATAGAACATTTCCATGAAATTACATCTGACTCATTGTTCTTTTCTCTTATTAGAACTTTAGAAAGAGTAACCTGGAATAACCTTTTCAATCCAGCAAAGTGGAAAGTGCTAGGCAAGGTTTATTGCATGCCTGTCTGTTCCACAAATTTCCATTATACAAGAAATTAAAAACTACAACCTGAGAGAAGATGCCTTCACTGAGTTGGGAAACTTAAGGTTAGGTGTTGGAAATTGTTGGTGAGGGATTTCCTTTGCCTCTAAGGTACATGAGAGTTATGGCGATAGATCAGAATTAGTTATGTTTATAGGCAAAATTGTAAAATGAAATTTGGTTTTGTTTTAACATCATTTTTGCTTTTAATTTTTTTCTGTTTCACAAGTTTCATGGTGGCCCTTGGCTATCCAGGTCCTCTGCTCAGAATTATTTTCAGCACCTTTGTCTCATTGCTTGCAGAATTTCCTGATGTAAATTTCTCAGTTTTGTGTTTCCTCCTTTCTTTTGGGCAGGTCAGCAGTGACTCGCAATCAGATATAAGGAATTTTGAGGTGTCAGGACATTAGGGAAAAAGGAATGAAGATTTCTTAGAGTCTGACCATCTTGGATTCTAATTCTAATGTTATACTTAATAGTTTTTAGTCTTAGTGCCCTTAAAATCCCCAGACCTTAGTTTCATTGTAACATTGAAATAATCATGTCTGTCACAAAGTTGTACAGACCATTAAATTTGGTTGTGAATGCAAAGCACTTATCAATCACTTTTACCAAACAACCTTCCATATACATGAATTCTCCTTTCTGAGCTTCCCCATCCCTCATTGAGAGTTTAGGAAGCAGGAAGCTAGTGATGCAAGCTCTGATGGTGAGCCTCCCTGAGAATCATCAGAAGAATAAAAGACAGTTAATCCCAATGAGCCTGCTTTCTCCTGAGATGCGTACATTTCAGCAGTCTCAAGTCTTATTTAAAATGCTGAGCTTGGGCCTTACAGCACTGTAGCCTCTCTCTTCCCACCATGCAGTCAATAGCTTGTGAGGTTTTTGGAAATTCACTCTTCAGTGGGAAAGAGTGCAGGCCAGGAGCTCTGATTATACAGGGAGACATGGGCAAAATTGAGGTTTCAATTTAGGCTAGGTTAGGCATTCATGGTTAACCTAACAGGGATCTTCGACCTGGGAATTCTTTAGGGCAAATCCAACCTAATGCTGCATTCTCAAGTGTGAACTATGAATAATGACAAAAGAGTCAGCATAACACAAGATTACTCTTCAGGTGGAGTTTCTCACATGTAAATGCAAATTCTACCTTCTGAGCAAAATATATTAAGAATGCAGTTAAATAGATAACATGCACCATTTATCATGTGATAAGAACGCGTTAAAATGGTTACAGAATGTCAAAGCTACTTACTTTGAGGGAAGCCTCTTAGATTCATTTCTGCGTATCTTACACATCCAGCAATTGCGCCTGCTCATTTTTCTAAGGAAATGTAGTATATATTTGTATAAATTACTCATTTAAAATAATTATATGTTAGTCAATTTTTTAACAACATACAAAAATATAAATCAGGCAAAAAGAATTACTGAAGTTAATAGAATACAAATCACAGTGGGAATGGGGAAGAATAAAATGATCCAGTTCTCACAAATATTTTATAAGAATATAAAATATGCTTAGAGTTTTAAGTAACTTTATAATCATCCAGTCTTCATATTCATTAAACAATGAGGTTTAAAAAATACAGAACTCTGAAAATGGTCTATTTATAGCCCACTGACAATGAATTCACCAACTTGTAAGGCTTCCTTTTTTGGACAAATCTTATTTTTAGAAATCACTTTCACGATATAGAACTAAAATTTCCCTCTTTCTAATTAGCCAAATAAAATTGTATAAATAGCTATATAAAAAAGGAAAACTTAAGAATGATTTCTGAGAGGGTTGCAGCCTGTGTGGTCAGATCCATTCTGGAAATCGTGACTTTAATGTTAAAATCCAGACAGTTTATTCAGCCTAGGCACCTTTATATAGCAGTACATGTCTTTGAGAAGACAACTAAAAATTGTTTTTAGGAATAAATAAGTCTGCATTTTATAATGAAAGCCAGAAGTAGTCTGACCATGTAGAGACAGTTATATACAATGAATTATTGAGGACCAACTGTGAGTTTTTACATGAATCTCTATTGATTCATTCAAAATATCTACTGAGCTCTGTGTGTCAAGTTCTGGCTGCTCATAAATTATCTGCATAGACCTGTCCTTGCTGACAAGTAAGATTTTGATATGGGAAATGCAGGGGCCATGAGACAGACTTGAGGGTAGTTAGTAAAGGCTTCCAATAAAGCATCATCAAAGCTGGAAAGGGAAGGATGTGTGGGGAAGTGCTGAGTGAAGAAGGGCTCTCTCTGTCAAAGTTAGGAGGAAGTAGGTTATGTCCTTGCTGAAGAAAAGAAAGCATTCAGCTTCTATGCTAATCTGGAGTATGGCAGGGGGAGAGCTGAGAGAAAAGACTAGAGAGTTAAGATTGGACTACAACCTGTGCTCAAAAATGTTCGCTGCAGCAATCAAGTGGTGGGAGATAAAGCTGTAGAATAAACTGAGGCCACATGCATGAGGCTGTGCAAGCCACAGGTTTCGTATTAAGGACTAAGAAAATCTCTGAAGCATTTGTCATTTAGAGTAGACATGTTAACATTTGAAATTGGCTTTGTGACTAGAGTGGATCATAGTACAGGCAGAATGGAAAAGAAGAAACCAGTTGACAGGCAGGACCATGAGGAGGTGAGAGTAGAGGTAGAGGGAAGAGATACATTTTAAACATTTTGAAGAAAGAACTTTTAGAACTTGCTGATATATGGATATAGAAGGTGAAAAGAAGGACTGACACAATGGCTCACACATATAATCCCAGCTACCCAGGAGGCAGATATTGGGAGGATCATGTTTCAAGGTTAGTCTGGGAAAAAGTTACCCAGATTATATCTCAATAAGCAAGCCGTGTGTGGTGGTTCATGTCTGTAATCCCAGCTAAGTGGGAGGCATAGGTAGGAAGATAGTGGTCCTAGGTTGGCCCAAGAAAAACATAAGAACCTCTCTGAAAAATAACCTAAAGCAAAAAGCACTGAGCATGGCTCAAGTGGTAGAACTTGAGCCTAGCAAACTCAAGGTCCTGAGTTCAAGCCCCAGTATCTGACCCCCACCAAATAAAAGGTAAGAGGAGGAAAAGAAGAAGTCCAAGAAGAATGTGCACCAAGAAAGAAGACAACTGGAGAACACACAGTTAAGAAAATTGTAAAAAAGCAGCTTGCTAGACAAAGATTGGAATAACACGGTACCAAAGAACCACAGCGTGTGTCATCAAAAAGGAACAATGTGCCAATGAGTGTTAGAAGAAGGGTAGGGAATAAGAGAGTAAAGGAAGGGAAGATGCTGTCAGATTTCTGAACAAGAAGGTCACCAAGCACCGCAGTGAGATTAGTCTCAGTAGATCAGGAAGGGCATAATAAAAAAATAGAGAACAAGAGGAAATGGAGCCGAGGACAAATGGTAGGATAATTGTGCAGAGCTACTTATAATTTGGTTTCTTTTCCCCACCCACTTTCTCTCCTTCCTTCCTTCTCGATCTCTCTCTCTCTCTCTCTCTCTCTTTTGCTGTCTTTCTTGTGTTTGTGAAAGCTGTAGACAGAATGATATAATAGGGTCAGAGAAGCAGGACTCTGTAGTTTGACCATTTTGTCCTGCCTTTCTGTAAGGAGTGTCATTACTGTACAGACTGCAATGTGATTGACACACTCCCAAGATGACCAATGATAGCCATGAACAGAGGTGGAAGACTAGAGAAAGAATTTCAAGAGCCTGAGAAAGAAGGTGGGACTAGAATTCAGCATGCAGGGGTTAGGACATTGAAAAAGTGGCAGTACAGGAAGTAGTCACTGTTCCTTTGTAAATGAAAATAGTGATGAAAGTTTAGGGCCCAAGTCAAGTACATTTGGAGGTTTGGAGATAAGAACTTCTGGGAGATGTGGTCTGAGAAATTTCCCTTTCAGATTGGTTCTTCATCGTAAGTGAGGAAAATCCATGGAGCTAAACTTATCTACAGGAAGAAACAAAATTGAAGGAGGGTACGTTTAAAGTGGCTTAAGCAGAAGGGGGAGTTTACTATAGGGATATGTTGTATATACAGTTAAATTCTAGATGACTTTAAATCATGACAAAGGTTTTGGACTCTAGCTGGTTAGTAATAGTAATTTATTGATGTCTTTAAATGACAATGGAATGAAAATAAAAGCCTTTTTCTAGAAAGAAAAATCTGACTGAAGATGATTAACACTGAAATGACTGAAGCAAAGAAAATTGTTACATTGACTGTTCATAACGATCCTGTGTATAACTGGACATTGAACTACCTAGTGTAGTTCGGTATTTCTCATCTCTGTAATCAGTGTTGGATAACTACAGCTCTTGCTTATTTCCTAAGTGGAAAGATGGTAATTATGTCCTTTATATCATTATAGATAGTCATCCCTGTCTTCTATGAGGACTTGTCTTCCCCTGTACCTGCTACCTTTAACAATAATTCTGTAGCTCATTGTCTCTTCACTTGATCTACTGGAACCATTTGTACACATTTTCACTTTTTTTGTTGCTGATCTCTGTTAATTCAAATAAATGTGTCTTTATAGGTTAACCCATCTTTCTGATTTTGATGGAATTGTTTGGCAAAAGTACAGAAATCTTAGCATACAACACTTACTGGGGTCAGATGCATAGTGGAAGCAATTTCTGAATTCACTAAAGTTTAGGGGACTCCCAGTGTCCACAAGAGGTGTCAGAGTATATTCAAATAGTTCTGAAACCAGACAGGTTCAAGCTCTTATTAGCTTTGTGACCTTGAGCATGCTAAGTCACCTCTCAGATGTTCCATTTTCTTTTCTTTACAATGGAACCATAACGATTAGAAAAATAGATGTATGCAAAACTCTCTGTTCAGCTTATCTGATCTTCCTTTAGTATCTTGTACCCTGTCAGCCAGGAAATATGTCCTAAGCTCTTTTCTTATGTACAGGAAACACACATTTTTGTCAGAGACCACATTCCTTCCTCTTTTTAAATTTCAACTCAGACATGACCAGTTTTCCTTATTAACCTTATTCATTCTTCTGATATGAATATACTCTCTGCAAATCTTCCCTTTCATTTTTTTGCTTCCCTTCTCGCATATTTCTATTGTTCACACAGTATTTTAGTGGTTGGTTTACAGTTTTAGAATCAGGTATATCTGATACAGGAACATATATGTCATTCTGAAGGAATGAGGCCACAGGTGGGATTTATTTGTCCAGAAGTACTCAGACATGTTTGTATGCTAGAGGGGGAAAGAGATGAGAGGACAGTCTAGCTAGAGTGTCTCTTTGGGAACAATTACATAGGTTGCCTCCTCTATAGAGATAACTGATTGAAACAGAGAGAGGAAGTTGAGATTCTTGTCAAGCTAAGGAACACCAAGTCAGGCTCCATGCTTATGGTGGAATAATTGCTTTTTAATCCAGCTAAGGTTGTGTACAGAATAGTAGCAGTTCTGTACTCAGTTGCATGACATTTTTAGAGGAGCATTATCCAATCCAAGTTATTCATTAGTAAGGCAACATTGGAAAAGGAGTGAAAAATAGCTATAAATAACTATATATGCATAAACAAAAGTAGATATAGTGTTATCTATATTTCTAACATCTATTCTTATTTTACTATGACTCTCCTGAAATATTATGTTGAAGAGTTTTTTAATAATCATGTATATAAGTACTTGTTCAGGATTCTAAGTAAAACATTTACAGATTATTAGATTATTGAATACAAATAGAATATAATGTCATAAAAGTGTCAGTAATTACTTTGAAGAAAATGTTAAGTGAAATAATTATATGTAAGATATATTATGGGTAGAATAAATAGACCACAGAGAGTTGTTGCTCACAAAATTCTCTGGTTTTCTAGTCCCTTAGAAAATGGGACACATTGAGTGCTGACCCAATGACTTGAGTTCTGCTCCCAGGCACAGCCCAGAACCTGGTGTTTGCTCCTGTCTACTAAGATTTCTGGAACTGAATGTCCATTCACTTGTCTGATTACTACTGGATTCATCATCACCATGCATCACTGCTTTGGAATATCACAAAACACCCCTGTGTCCTCATAATGCTGTCCACATTGAAGCAAAGAGGTAAATTGATAAGTATTTAATCCAGGTTTAAATAATAAATTCAGGTTGACCACCTGAGCTCATTACCTCTTCCAATAAAACCACTGGTAAAATTATAGTAAAAGAATATGCAAAACTTAACATAAAGGAAAAAGGGGATCAAACAAGGAGAAAGACACAACAAAATATTTCAAATAAGTTTGGAAGAGAGAAAGCAGATGGAGGAGTAGTAGTTAAAATTCTCATACCTCTAAAATGAGAATAGAAAAGGCAGACTTTAGAATTTCGTTGACCAAATGAAGAACATGTAATTCTTAGTCTGAGAGCAAAGAATTTCCAAAATAACTATTTCCAATATAATTCTTATTTCAAAAAAGAAATATCTGCAATCCTGCATTCAACAGTAGTTATCATTAAGACATCTCCACCTATAGTTTACACCAAAATATGGAGTGGCAGCATCAAATGCTTTCACAGTTATAATTGGGTGTTTTTAAGAAATGTATTTGGTAATCCCAAAAAAGGTGCATTCTAAATTTTTTAAGAATTAATTATAATTCTTCTGGATAAGAATTTGGTTAATGCATCCGATTGATAAATCCAACTAAGGATACCTTTAATTAAATTACAATCCTCAAAACCAAGTAAAAATAAAAATTAACCTCAAATAATTCATAGAACTTCAAGTCTCTTCTGGCAAAAATAAACAAAAGAGGTCCTAGTTTACAGTGAATTAAACTGACATAACATAGAACTGACTTACATTGTGGACAAACTCACCAAGCTTCAAATCAACAATAATCATTTTTTCTTATGTTGATGGTAATGATATGTGGAGACAGTCCATTACCCTAAAAATATAATGATAATAAAGCAAACAGAAAGAAAAAAGATTAATGTGAGCTTCCTGGAGAATACATAGTGGCAAGGATTTCTATAAATATCCTGCATTATGTTTTAAGTAAATGTGTTTTTCCACTTGAACAATGCTGGGTTATGGTGGTCTTACTCATTTCTTATCTAGAATTTTATTAATTTCATATATTGTTATATAAATACCCACATAAGTATATATTTTATTTACATCTTTCCATTGCTTTTTATTTAATTATTTTAATGTTTAAATAGAAAATCTCAATGTTATGGATCAATTCCCATATCTTTTCATTTTTCAGTCATCTTTTGGTAATCTACTGTACACTTTTGCAATCTAAACATAGGGTATTTTGCACAAGTTTTGGTCTTCACAATGGTTTTTCTTTCAGCTTTTTTTCCTGATAATTATTTAAAAGAAAGAATACATTTCATTGATAGGATCTTAGAATAACCATAAACATATTAGCAATGAAATGAATTCTACATATATTATGACATATATAGATTCAAATTTTCTTCCTGAACTCTTAGAAGCAAAATAAAAATAATTGAATTCTCTTAAATCCAAATGTTCACCAACTTTAATCATTTTATAATCCTTATATGCACTCAGTCATTTCCTTTTGTTCACAAATTATATCTACAAAAATTTAGTGTTCTTTGTGATGTTCTTTTATTTTAGTATGTTGCATAAAATTTAGAAAAATTTGGAGCAATTTACATTTATCCAGACTTTGTTTGCTGTAGCCCACAAATTCTTTCCCTTTATAAAAGCAAGTATCCCTGTGTAGTTGTGCTTAGGTATAGAATGAAGGAATGAAGAAATTCCATAAAATTTAGATTAACAGTGCTTCAGATAAATCTTATGATGATCTGTACATGGAATCAGTACAGCTAATAAAATGATGAAACTAACAATTTAATAATGAATGATTCTGCAGTATCTGACTTTTTATCATCATCTAAACATATAAACACATGTTCACAGAAAAACACAATTAAATGAAAGAAATATTATAATAGTTCCTCTATTGCCTGATTTAGAAGACTCACTAACTTATAAGGCTATGGTAAGTTTTATGTATAGAAAATCTGAGCCTGGAACAGAATATGTGTTTATAAATTTTTTTTCCTTAGAAAAAAGCCCTGCTAACACTCCTCCATGTCTACTCCTATACTTAACTATTTTATAGAATCTCATACTTACAAATGAATCCTGTGGCACAGTCCACCATGCTGTTTTATTTCCTCTTTGTTAGGATCCGTTTGGACTCAGGTTCTGAAATTTCAAGAGACACCCAGCATTTTATTTTTCCTGGCATAAAAAGACTTTACTGTCTCTATAATTACCTCTGTGTCCCTCAGTGTGAATGTCTGTTTTTACAGACACATATCTATGCAAAGAGAGGTTTTGTTGAATATGGAAAGTAGTGCTGTGGGACTGATAAAGAGGTTTTATCTAACATTATTAGAGCATCTGACATGACCAGATGACTGGAAGTCAGAGCTCCATGACATCTTCAATATAGTAATCAGTATTTCTTTTCCAAAATAATTCACTATTCATGTTTTACAAAACATATAGCCTGCAGTAAAATCCCCTTCTATACAACAGAGAACTGAGGAAAAATTAAGTAGGCTGCCCCTGCAAACATTTGTTATCACTTTTTGAGAACTAGAATAGTCAAATTACTAAGGACCTTATTATTACTATTTTTTAACAATAGAAGAACCTAAAAGGTCTCTTTTCTGGTTAAACATTTCTAGTTTCTTCAACTGGTCCTCTGTGGAAGATTTTGGACTTGTCATCATTATTAAGTTTGTAACTGCACCTGTTAAAATAGGGACTGAATACAGTGCTTCAGCTGAGCTCTAATGATTTGTAGAACATGGTGAGACTGCTAATATTCTTGTCTTGTGTCTATCCGTGTGTGTGTGTGTGTGTGTGTGTGTGTGTGTGTGTGTGTAATAGCAGAGTGGTTTAAGCTGAGAGATGATTGGAATAAAATATCAGGAAAGATCAGAATATGTTTGAGAGAGTGTTTCCTAAAATAGTCAGAAGCCCAATGAGGTAGATTGTCTATATTTATATTTAATAATTTTGAGGTTCAAACCCAAACAAATGGAATCTATCAAACCTAAGGGATAAGTTTGGGACTGGCAAAGGCAAATAAGAAAGTTGACTAGACAAGGCCATGATGCATGAGTAAGGAACAGTGTTTGGGAAATTTGGGTGGATCAGGGTTATTTGCTAATAGCACCCATTTTAACTGGTGGTTATTTGTCCAATTTCCTTCCTTGTCTCAGAAGACACACATGCTGGGAAGATGGATTTTTCCAGAAAATCTTCAATGTACTAGTCAATTCTTTTACCCCCACATAATCCATTTTGGCATGTTTAGGAATGTTTCTTCTTTCTTAAGTTTTGGAGTAATATAAAAACCCTGCCATCAATGTTCTTTCTAACAAATTTTTACTCATAATTTTTTATGAGTGAAAATTATGGGGTAGAATCTGGGAAGAAGGATTATATTTTATATTTTCCCATATCTCATACCCTTCTAAGATACAGTACTGGCTCTCTGCCAGTACTTTTTTATTACACCTTTTTATTACACCTCTATAATTAGTGTAGAGGTGATAATGTATATTTGGAAATACTAAGTTTTGTAAGTATAATTTACACAAATATATATTTTCATAAAGCATGCAAATTTGAAGAGTAGAGTCCTTCTGTCAAATAAGGAACTAGTATAAAACACAAAGTAAGCATTTGTCTTTAGGATCTGAAAATAACGTAATGAAACTATATCTTAAAAATTCTGGAAGGACAGGATATACAAATGAGATTGGATGAAAATTTTCAATATTTAGGAAAGGCAAAGAATTTTAAAATATATTGCAACCCCAGAATCTTCAGAAACATACTTTCTTCCATTAAAAAAGAACATGCCTTTCTCCCCTCAAGTTTGAATACTTGGGGAGTTACTATAACAACTCTATAACTAGTACATCAAATAAATGTCTTTTTCAGATGTAGAAAATGTATACTTAAAACACTTTCATACGCAGTAAAAGTAACTTTTCCCAGACAAAATTATATCCAAAGGAAAATGAAGAGCAATTGCATAATAAGAGGTATGGTTCTGGAGGCCTAGAACCACATAGAGCATCCTGAGAGCACAGCATGGGCCAAGAGAGTATTCCAGGGATGACTTTCCTTTGAAAGAGAAAAACTTCAGAACATTAACCATAAACATCCCAAATGCATTTTCAAATACTTATGAAAATGATATCTAATAAAACATGAAATCTTTAACTTTATTAAGAACACCATATACAGTAATTTAGGAAAACTAGTCTTTTGGTTATTTTTCCAGATGGGTGGGCATTTTCTTATCTTATTGCTTTCCAAGCGAGTAGGAAACAGATAAATAGAAGTGGAAAATTTATATCTATAGCTTACTTTCCTTATACCTTTGCTGAACAGATTTGTTAAGGAAACTTTTATAATAAGGGAGGTATTTTTATACTTAAATGGTGGTCATCTATGTAGGAAGTGGCAGAACTTGTATCAGAAACTGCTTCCCCAACTCCATTTTATTTTTTCAGTTGTGGTGGCATTTACATTGTGGCATTTACAAAAATTCTTATAATCTATCAAATATGTCATACTTGAATTCACCCCTTCCATCATTCTCCCAACTCCATTTTAAAGTAATTCTATCCTAGAAATTTAAAGAAAATACATGTAACCTAGTTCCAGCCATTTCTTTAATTAAACAAAGAATCTGATGTCTTGTGTGTTGCTCTGAGTCTCAGAGTAGTTGAGGTAGAGCTGATGCTGAAGTCAGGCCTCCAAACCCTGCTAAGATTTCTGCAAGCTTTTAGTATAAGATCTCTCATTCCATTTCTGTCGTAATTCTGGTTAGTCAAAGAATCATGTATGTTCTATCTTCTCTACATATGTCCCTATAATCTACTCTCCTTTCTTTGTTTACTGGAAATGCATGTGATACAAGTAATTTGCTTGCATGAATTCTGGCCAGTTTTGCTGAATGATATTAACTGTAAATTATTAATTCCACATTGAGACCATGCACTCTCCACCTGAATGTTATCAACACGGTTGCTGCTGAGTTGGATGAATAGAGGGTTAGGCTTCTAAATCTAACTTATCAGATTTATATGAAAGAGTTGGAACATCATTCTTGACAGAACACAATATATGCAGCCTATTATCCGAACATAGTAGAATACCCGACAGAAAATTATAGATTAAGATGTTTACTCTTATTGAAAAATAAGTTATTATTCATTAAGATTCCATAAGGATTCTTTTAGCAAATTCTACTGTCTTAAAGTTCTGATTCAGTTTATGCTTAGTGCTTCAATAAAATAACACAAAGAAAAAATTCTTTTGAATTTGCTTACAAGTAAAAAATCACCCAAACTTTTCTAAATAACCTTAATAGTTCAGAACAATAGTTCTGATAGCACAAGCAATAATATACTCAATAATATATTGCTTACTATTTTATTTTTACTTTTTGCCAAGGGCCATTGTGGTTTAGTAGGATGAGTGATGCTATCTGCAAAATGGAAGCAGATTTAAATTGCTCAAGTGCAATGCCTATAAATACCCTGGAAAACCAAAAATGCTTGAGAAAAGGGGTGAAAAAAGTATTATGAAACTGTGATAATTAAGGAATATTCCACTTAGGTCTATTTTAAGTCAAGTACTACTCCAGAGAGACCATGTGACTTTATTTTTAGGCTTCAGTTTATTAATTCAGGCTGCAGCCTCCACTAATTGACAGAGTTGTTCTTTAGCCAACAGATGTGTTAGTGGTTCTAGATATTGAGAAATTAAAAGTTCTGCCTGCTTCCTGGAGGAAAGAAACCAATTTTCTGCTGAAGATTCTTTTTCCGGGGAGCAAGTCATATTTCTAGGGTGGACCACATGCACAATTATTTGATAGATCCTGAGAGTTACACAGTCCCCATGCACAGGGTTTCCCTGGACAATTAGTGATGGACTAGTCAATAAAAATGCAACCAAGATTTTGAGAGACATACTTGAGCAAAAATGTGATGATTAGACTTCCCAGGTAACATATAGGACAATTGCACTAGCAAATTCATTTGTTCAGACCTTGGTCTCTGAGGAGTTGAGATGGGAAGCTAGCAAATCTCAGTAACACACAATATAAAACTAAGATGACAAAGGACTGGTGAAAACTCACTGACAGTTGCTTTGGGAGAGAAGAGCATACACCCGCAGAGGTGTTTGGAACACAGGAGCAAGAGACCCTTGTCTTCTTCATGTGCATGTGGCATGGCTCACAGTTGCACAGGGCCCAGAGGTTGGCCTCTGTGCTCTGTTGTCACGGTCTTAAAATTCTTAATGCTTGGGTCAGGGATGTATCGCAGTGCCAGAGCACTTGCCTACCATGTGCAAAGCCCTTGGTTCGAACTCCAGCACTGCAAAAATAATTCTTAATACTTTTTAAATATTTTCATTAACAGATATTAATTGTGCAAACGGGTTTATTCTGATATTTCCATACATGCATATAATGTATTATGATTCATCCCCTCTATTACTTTTTCTCCATCCATCTTTTTCAACAATTTTTAACAGGTTTCATTTCTATTGTTAGGCATGTGTATAAAGAACTTTGATCATATTCACCTCCACATTTACCTTCTCCTTTTTCTTCCCTCTCATGCTGGTTCCCCCCTCAAACAGTCCCCATTTTATACTCCTGATGTTCATTTTTTTTAAGGTCTAGAATCCACATATGAGAGAACATGGCTATTTGTCTTTATCAGTCTGGGGTATTTCACTTAATCTCACATTCTCTAGTTCCATCTGCTTTCCTGAAAATGACTTAATTTCATTCTCCACTATGCCTGAATACCATTTCATTGTGTATGTATACTACATTTGCTTTATCCATTCTTTGGCTGTTGGGTACCTGGGCTAACTCCATATTTGGTTATTTTGAATCATGCTGCTATAAACATGGGTATGCAGGTGTCTCCATGGTATGCTGCATTACATTCCTTCAGATATGTGGTATATAGCAGGATCATATGGCAGATATCTTTTTAGTTTTTTGAGGAATCTCCATACTGAATTCCATAGTGGCTGTACTAATTGTATTTCTACCAACAATGTGTAAGTGTCCCTTTCCCTTCCATTCTCACAAGCACTTGTTTTTTGTTTACTTGATTGCCATTCTGGGGCAACATGGAATCTCTATGTTGTCTTGATTTGCAAATCCTTTATGGCTACGTATGTTGAACATTTCTACATATATTTGTTAGTCATTCATACTCATCTTTCGAAAACCATTCAATTGATTTGT